TCTATTAGCGGTGCTTTACCGTCTAAGCGGCATCCCAAAGTGAACATTAAAATCATAAGCCTTGCTTTGCATAGGGTCATAACCATATGAATCCTCTCTACTCATACTTATACCTTGATTGCTATCCCTGGACAAACTAGTGTTTAGACAACATACACACGTTTCCCTATGGATACGATACTCGATAATACTCTAGGTGAAAACTACTTCGATCCCCGTGCGCTTGCGAATTTTGTCTCTATGTGTTCCAGCACAGGTGTCAACACTCATGATATATGATGTCACCCAACAAAATGGCTGAGATGGCAGACTGCGGAACCTCCGTAGGAATCTATAGAACTTCTGCACAAATGTGTGGAACCTCCGCGCTATTGACACTCATAGCAAAACAAATATACACCATGCATGGCATGAATATCGCACACTAACATAAAAGATCCTTAGTAAGGATATTAGTTTAAATATATCCTTGCATAGACCACACTATGAAAAAAAATTATTTGCCTCGCTTTTGTACATTTTGGTCCACATATCAATCTCTCTTCCCTTACACTATCTCCCAAAATCTCTTCCCATTTGACATCAACATCCAAAAACATCTCTCCAGCAAAAGAATGATATTATGGTAGACAAGTGAGGGTAAGAGAAAGGTAAAAGTTTAGCATATATGATTTCTCTCCTAGTTTTTCTACCAAACAAAGTATGCAACACCTTATGGTAAGATTCTTGAGAAATAAGAAGATCGCAGATTTAGCTTATACTTAGATGGCATTTTTAACACGAGACAAACTCATGCCATCACCAGAGGAGTTGTCCACCAAATATCTTAAGTTCTCTAATCGTCACCAAAAGAACAAACTCTTGACGTGACCCAAAATATTGCATACAAATGCGCACACTAGCATGTTTGGGCCATCGCGATCATGATTTTTATTAGTTGGATTTAGTGCTTAGATGGGCTTGGCACTTCTTCATGCAAAATGATTTCATCTATACCCATCTCTGTTCACATCATGACCTTCATGAACATATATCGAACTTGTGCTTCATATTAATTGAAAGTCCATTGCTAGCTCTTTGTTGCCATTTTGAGATACCAGTTGAAGACACATCTCTTAATATACCAAATAAAAATAGTCCACCACCAATGTCAATTGAAATATGATGTTCACAATTTGACACCAATTAAAACGATCTTCGCAAGTTGATGCCAACTCGGATAGATTCTTATACATCATATTGCTATATAGGGAATGCTTATAAAGACAAGAGATAGCGTTAAATTGCATAAGATAGAGTTTTACAACTTATGACCCTTTTGAATGTGGGAGGCATGTTGATCGCTAATTGCAAAACCTCTTAACATAGAATAAATTCTCCCTTTTTCATAGTATATATATATATGGAAGGCAAGAACATTTGCACTTTTGGTCAATTAATCCTAAACAAGGGAATTCGAGCTATATTATGGAGAGTAGGTACAACAGAGATAAGTTGCAATCCAAATGAAATCGAGATATGCTTTTACCAATTCTGATTGAGTTAGGTACCATACCCAAGAGAAATTTATTCTTACCAAGAGACTACACAAAATTCACTAGAAGAAAAGGAACACTAGCATATATGTAACAAAAAACAATAATTAAACACTATTTGTAGATTATGTAGACATTTATATTTACTAGATATATGTCCGTGCATTGCACCGGGGTCACAATTTTTTGAACTAAACTGAGTAATCGGAACAGACGCGTGAGCTCAGAGGACTTCTTATTGGACGTAGACACATGGATCCTTTATTCATATCGGTACTGTGTAGGACACGGACACGTGTGGTCTGAGTAGATGATGATTCGTATCAAACACGAACACGTGAGCAGGGATTAAGATTTGGTATCACCGGGTAGATGATGACGTTAGAGTCTTTTTAGGTGTACAGAAGAGAGTAGAGATTGAGAATATTGGTCAGATATATCGTACACTAGGCATAGTATATATAGATCTGAATCCTCTATCTAGGTAAATAAATAAATAAATATATATATATATATATATATATATGTATTGCTTTAAAAAAAATTGAAAATTATAAGGCGGTGCAAGAGGCCGTTATGGGCCTGCATGGGTTTTGTTGCCAAGGGAGCCCCCACATCTAGTCCCAAGTTTTTTTTCCAACCGCCTCGTCGTTGCCATTCGAGCCCACCGCTTGGCTCGCACGAGCTCACCCACCTCACCTGGCCACCGCCACGCCACCTTTCCTCTCCCCACATTCCCCGAGTCCGACTCCGACTCCACCCGAGCCAAAGAGAAGCTGGCCGCGTCGTTTCGCGTCCCGCCGCCGAAGAAGAGGGAGGAGCCGCGCGGCGTGGCCGGCGAGCTCGACGCGCCCCCTCCCTTCCCGGCTCCCTCCGTCCGCGCGTCCACCCCGATCCGTTCCGCCCTCACCGCGAGGCGGAGGAGGATCTGGGAGGGGAGGGAGCCAGGCCCGGCGCACCCACCCGCTCTCGTCCGCGCCGGCGAGCGCCAAGCGTTCCCCCCCACACAGGTAGGTGTGCTCCTCTTCCTCGTCTCTCTTTTTCCTTCGAGCTGGTGGCCTAGGCTTTCATTTCTATCAATCACGTCCTCATCCTACCTAGGGTTTCCGGGTTTCCAAGCGTGAGAATGTGTTCTTTTCCCATCGATTTGCGTGGAATGATTAGGGAATTGGCGTGCCTTGTTCAGGACTCTTCGAGATAGGTTATGGTTCCTTCGTGAAACAGGGAAATGGACCCATTCCTTTCGGATCTGCAGGGAAATCGATCTCGTTTCGTGGCCAATACGAAAGGACCGGGCCTAATTTCTCGCCAAACCGAATTCCAAAGCAACGTTTATGAGGACCTCGACCTCCCTAGAATCGTTGTTTGTCTCTAGGGCTAGTTTGGGATTCTAGGGTTTGCTTAATGGCTTGGGTACTTGCGTGCCTTATCCTGTGGTTCCTCCATAGTGTTTTAGAATTGCATCAGCATGCATTACAGTGCTTCTTTGATGGTTACCTCTTTGAGATAGATGGTTTCTGTCTGGGTACTTGGTCTGGTTCATAGTTGTTTCTGTTTCCTGCATGGCTACCGTTATTGTGGCCGTAGGCTCAAATGAAACGTTAGCTGATTTTGATAATTAGCGGAAACGGAAACATGCAGTACCGTTATGGCAACGTGCAGTATTAATTAGTGGAAATGGAAATATCGTTATTTTAACAGTTGGAGATGATACTGTTACTATTTGGGAGAATCAGATTTAGCATCGAGAAATCTGAAATGTTGATTCCAATGAAATTTGCAGCTTCGGTTTCTTCAACTGGTTTTGCTATTCTGTTTTGTCATTTCTTTATTATGCTAGTACATCCTCTGCAAGTCGAGAAAAGATTACCTATCATTTCTGTTTACATCCTTTGTACTCATTGTACATAAGCTGAAAAGCTTCCATTTATGGGTATAACTGATAATACTAAGAGCAAATGGCAGAAGAGTCACATAAACAAAATAGCACTTAACAATTCAATGCAGAAACTAAAGGAGCAAATTTCCACTGGCAAAATCAAATATAACATCTCCTAAGTGGCAAATTTATTTTTTCCCAACTGTTATTGGCAAGTGGTGATCAATAGTTTTTTCTATTTTTCATACGTTTCGCAAGGCTCATGTGCGGTAACCTCTTTTGGCTCGATAACGTCGATGGAACACATATTTTGACAGTAATATATGTAATCCTTGCTTACCTGAGAAAAATTAGTTTGGGACGAGCTGCTAAACCAATAGAATTGGGATAGATTATTTCTAAATTAGAGTTGGACCTGCCTGAAAGAGCAACATGTCACATGATATTTTCATTACTTCAAAACAAAAAACTATGTTTGGTTATTTGGTTAGAGCTCTGCCAACTGCCATTTTAAAAGCACATAGGGGTGGGCATAAAACCCGATTCCCGAACCCGAACTACCTGGACCCATAGCGGAACTACCCATACCTGAAATATCCTATTACAATTTTGGAAGTAACTCTAGATACCCAAATTTAACTTGGGCAGTTCGGGTTCTGATCCCTGGTATCCGAACTACCCATAATACCCGAAATTTATGTTTGTGTGATCTGTGATGTGTATGAGAGTATATGTTTATCTGTTTGAACAACATTTGTGTAGTTGTTGAAGACATATGCTGTTTGGTACTTCGGTATTTGCTAGCTGTGTGATTGATTATATATTTTTCCCTATTAAATGCTGTCAAAATTGTTGTTTACTGCTTTAAAACGCCAAACTTTTGTCTATTTTGCTGGTTTTGTCAAATTCAGGTACATCAGGTATACCTGAATTATCAGTAGTGTTCTCTCGGGGCGAAAATCGGGTATCAGTTTGTAATACCCAACTTGAATATTTGGAAGTTTGGTTACCCGAATGCAATATTTGGAAGTTTGGGTTACCCGAATGCATCATGTGCCTTTTGTTTTTAGTTTGGGTGGATTGTGTAGGTCATTCATCCAGCATTTCTGGAAAATCTACATTTGCTCTTTTAATTCTGGATTTGAGTTTGCTCATTCATTTGAATTTCTAAACATTAATAGTGATCATGCTGTAGAAGATTAGGAAACACCTCAAATATATAGTCAAGTGCAATTTGGAATACAAGTAACATGTAACATGATATACATGTGTTACTATACATATCTCTAATACATGCAGTTCTTTTAACATGTCAGCAATTCTCATTTTCCCTGGATTAGTTAAAATTAAATAAATAACTCATTTAAATCCATTGCTGTAACTCTGTTGGATATCTGGTGTGGGGCTATGGTCCTACTTTTTTCTTTTGGCGTGATTAGTAGCTTGTTCTAAATGAATGCTTCACCTACAGGCTTGGCTGAGGAAAACCTGTGCTCTGTGCATCTTGGACACGGCTTCACCATTTACCAAGTCTTGAGTTATTGCTCCGCTGTCAGACAAGAAATCAAACTCTCTGGCCAAACACAATGATGGCACAAGCCTGTAAGAAGAGGAGAGGAGTTTATATAAGCAGTGAATCGGGAGACTCTGATGCAGATTCTGATGTTGAGGGAAGCAAACTCTCTCAAAAGTCTGGGGTGACATCAATTTCTACATGCAAGCACCAGTCATCGTATAACCTCAAGGTTGCAAGTATGAAAAATAGCAGGATGATAAGGCTGTGTGGAAATATCGTAAGGAAGCTCATCGATCACAAAGGTGGCTGGCTTTTCAAAGATCCTGTTGATCCAGTGCTATATGGGATTCCTGACTACTTTGATGTTATCCGCAACCCAATGGATTTGGGTACCGTTAAGAATAAACTCACAAAAAAGAAATATGTAAGCATTGAGGAGTTTGCAGCAGATGTGAGGCTAACATTTTCAAATGCTACGAAGTATAATCCTCCAGGCAATGATGTACATACTTTCGCTAAAGAATTGAATGAAATATTCAATTCAGAATGGGAATCAGTAGAAAGGAAATTTAGAGGCCGAAACCCTGTTCAAGAGCAGCAGACAATGAAGGCCATAAAAGTTGAAGCTATCATGGATTCAAAGTCTACAGTTGCTAGAGGGCTAGTTGCATGCTCAAATCCTAAACCTTTGGTTGCTAGAGGGCCAGTAGCTTGCTCAAATTCGATTGCAAAGAAGACACTGACAGACGCGTTATCCTCCAAAGTGAGACCACATATGCTCTTATTCACTTGATTTGTTTCTCTCGTGGTAATGTGATTTTAAAAGTACTGCTATCTACTGTTTGTACAGGTAAAAATCAAATTTTCCGTGCGCAGCTCTGTGCATACCTCTTCCAAAGGTGTCAATGGCATAATTTCTTACTTCTTTGCATTACATGACAAGTTTTTATCCTACGGTCAATTAGAACTCATTGTTGTAATTATTAATGCTTTCCTTTTCATTCAGATATACCTGTTCAAGCAGCTGGTAGCAAAGAGGGGTCCTTAAATCACTCTGTCCCTACTGGCAACAAAGAGGCATCTTTAAATTGTACTCTTCCTAATGCTAAGGTATTGGGCATGAGTTACTTTCTCATTCTTTTTGATTCATTATTGTCTGTTCACAGTACAAAAAAAATTGTAACTCCCGATCTAAAGCTATATCTTCTACCTTCAGGAGAATGCTAAAATTTCAAGGACACGAGAAACTGAGCGCAGCTCTGGTTCAATTGGTATGTTGAGCATTTCTGCACAATGTTATTCCAGAGTTTCTGTTTTGCTAATATATACTTGAAATCCTAGGAAAAGAATCATGGTCTTGTAATGACACTTCTACTTCGCCTCTCGCTTCCTCTTTGCAAGGTTATTTCACATGTTCTCCCATACTTAATTCATCTGCTTATTAACTCCTGTTACTGGAAACAATGAAAACCTAACATTTAGGAGCTTAGGGTACTTGATTTTGTCCATATAATTCTTGGCTAATGTACTGCATGCTCTCATGTGAATTCCAGGTGAGGAAGGTTACCTTCATGATGAACCTTTGTCACCAGGCAGGGCTCTTCGTGCAGCAATGCTCAGGAGTCGTTTTGCTGGGACTATAGTGAAGGCTCAACAGAAGGCACTTCTGGATCATGTAATGTTCCAAACATATGTGCTGAACTTTGTGGTCTTCTAGTTGGCAATGGCTTCGCATAGGACAAGTTTATCTCTGTGCAGTAATGCAGCTCTTGCTGACATGCTGTTTTGATGCCCCAGGGGAAGAATATAGACCCTGTGAAATTGCAATTGGAAAAGGAGAGGCTGGAAAAGAGGCAGCAAGAAGGTAAGAGTCTGACTCTGTTTTTAGTACCTCTAGAATTCCTGTGAGTAGAACAAATATCTGGATATATGTGTACATCTGTCACTGAGACTGGTGTAGATCTCTTACCTAGACTGGTCCAGTCTGAGGGGATAGTTTTGTATTAGTAAAATAATTTTAAAATAAAAATACTCAGATGCTTTCCTGACTTTTCGCTTTGAGAAACCTTAACTTTGCAAAAATGTCCCTGGTGAAGTATCAGCAGTGTCCTGAGTTTAGCGTGCTGTCACGTTGATTTGTACTTACTGGTGAAGAGACTAACACAAGGCATGCTGTTTTGGCCTGGGTGTTTAGATTCTGTAGATTGAGGTTTCGAATCAGCACTAGGCCATTAGATGCAAAGGAAAGACCCTCAATTATGCACAGGATGAAAAACTGTGTTAAAAAATCTTTTTACTTGTTTTACGTTCTGGATAGTGCTGAGCTGGTAACAATGGCCTTAATATGTAATCAATAACTGGTATCTGCCCTGCAGTCAACTCAGTCACAGGCCACTGGGTGTATGAGCTAGTTTTTGGTAGACTGGTTCCAGTTGGGATTTGGGAACTTCAGCTATTAGTGCGTGGAGATCATGATCCACGTGCTCAAAACATGACCTGCCCTTTACTATCACTACTAAATTTCTATATGCCTCTTTTGAATTTTCATGCTGCATTTTTTTTTGTTCTTGTCGGTTATCATCTTTAGTCTACTTAACTTGCTTGGGACTAAATGTATTTGGTGGGGGTTAAAGTTGGGAACTGGGTACTGGAGGCATGTTATAAACTGTGCTGAAATTAACTTCCTGATTATTTGTTTTTTTTTTCCACTTCTAAGGTAGCTCTGGACCATTATTTTTGGAGTTAAGAGAAATGACTTACATTGAAAAGTTGACATTCTCATCTTCCAACCAATTTGTGCTGATGAAATTTCCTATTTACTTTTATTTTATGTGCTCTTTAAACATGACCTATGTGCATATACTTGCTAGAATAATAGGCATCTTGAGGTCGAGAGTTCTGTTTTGGGGGATTAAGAATATAGTCAGTACTTTGAGCATTCGGTCAAGAAGCTGCATTTGTGGCATATTCAGAAGCTGTAATTTTTGTATCATCTTGACATGAGCCAAGCCATTCCTGTGGATGCTAACAGGGTTACCACTTCATTTTTTTTCACTGTAATACAGAGAAAGCAAGGATCGAGGCCCAGGTGAAGGCTGCTGAAGCAGCTGCACAACGAAAGTTTGAGGAAGAGCTGAGGATGAAGAGAGAGCAGGAAAGGGAGGCAGCACGCCTGGCACTACGCATGGTAGTACCTGCTTGTAGTTTTCTGACCAGCAAGTTTATATGCTTGATGGGTATGCAAGGGATAAATCTCCTCTTGTGCAGATGAAGAAGACTGTCGATATTGACAACAGTGACTTCCTAAAGGAGCTGGAGAACTTCAGCGAAACGTGTCAGTCGAATCCACCTGGCAAATTAATCGTGGATTTTATTGATGGGGACTTGCCACTGGGGTTAGGGAGCCCGCTGGAGAGGCTTGGCCTGTTCATGAAGAACGATTTCGAGGATGAGGTGGAACAGGAAATGGAGGACAGCGCATCACCCTCAATGGACGTTGACATGAAAGATTTACAGGAAGACGTAGGGCATGAAATGCAGGACAGCATATCACCCGTGACGGTCATTGGCACGAAGGATGACTCCCAGGGAGCGGAAGGGCATGAAATGGAGGACAACGTATCACCATCCACAGTCATTGACACAAAGAAAGATTCTGAAGAAGAGACAGAACATGAGATGGTGGACAGCGTATCACCTTTGATGGATGTTGACGCTGAGGAAGGGGAGATCAGCTGCTGACGATAGCCACACCACTCTGTCATCATCCACATAATTTATTGAGGCCGTGAGGTAGACATCCTTGCTGGGTTGTTAGATTAGGCGACCTCATAAGCAGAGTGATGAAGAAACATTAGTTTCCTCTGGTTGCATCGAAGAACCATGTGGAGAACATGTGTCAGCCGAACTGAGTAGTGGGTTTTGGCTTTGCTGCGGATTTTAATTTTCGTGGTCCTGTCAGTCGGGCAAGAGTATGATAACTCCGTTGTATGTTGGATTTGTTAGGTACCTATTTAGTGTGAGCTCGTCGGCTGGATGACCTGTATAAAAAGATGAGAAAAAAGGGGTAATTTAGTGTTAGTATATATTGTAGGAGCTTATGGTGGATCCGGTTGCAGCACACAAGCTATAGCATTGTTCCCAGATGGGTCAGCGCACCGTAGTACCTTGTTACTGTATTCATTCGAAAACTTCAATAAAATGATGCCAGTCGCACTAGTAAATGTTTTGAAATACTGAGTGTTTGGTTTACTCTATTTTAGATGAAAGTGGACGCATCATGAGTTTATTTCTTAAAATTTAGTGGAATGAATTTATTTGTCATATTAGCATTAATTATAAGCCTATGAGAATGAGGTGGTGATGTACTGACTCATCTTATTTTACAAATTAAAAATACTAATTTTAGAAAGCAAACAAAGAAACTAAATATCTGTTCGGCTGGTATTAAAGTCGACTGAAGTTGGTTTGTTGTGAAGAAAAAAAAATACTGATAAGCCGACTGATAAGTTTAAACGAAGAGGCCCTAAGTGAGGTGACGATAAACTATCTCATTTCATAAATCAGACACATATCCGTATCCGCTGATCTTATGCAGTCATGGGGCTGGACTTGTAATTTGTTACTGCTTCGTTTAAATGCGTATATATTCATCTTAATCTATATGTAATGAAGTGGATTGCAATGAAATTAAACTAAGTTTTATTTAAATCCACTTTAACACATGTAGATTTAAATGAATATCAGCTTCGCCGTATCTGTGGCCGTGATGCCTCAAGTCTCATGCGTCATGCCATCGATCCCTCGATGGTCGGCAGTAAGGACGGTGCGCGGTCCGTCTTTTTTCTTTTCTTTTTTTGTACCGGTCCGTCTTTTTTCTTTTCTTTTTTTTTACCCGTTTGTTTTCATATTTGCGGGATCTTATCATCGTATTTACAGAAGGGGGAGAGTGAGTTTCTCACCTGTTTTTGCAGATCTCGTTTTCATTCGAATTCACATTTTGATTATGTTTTAATCCCGTTTTTAATCTATGTGGGGGCATGATATGCACCGATCTGTTGGCAGTAAGGACGGTGCGATTAGTACCTGCTCTGACGACGTTAGTAGAAAAAACTTGCTCTTCTTTCGTAAAATAAAAAGTTCTCCTATGAATACCAAACCCAATCGTGCATAAAAGTTGTACCATACTTTTATGTTTATGAGCTAAAATTCTAGCATATGAAAGTCGAAGTATACATTCTAGTCGATACAAAGTATGTTTTTCGATGATCCTCTGTGATAATGATAAAGATTTCTACATATTTGACTGAAACAATCAAGAATATACTAGTATGATAAATTAGTCCACATGGGTTTACTCATATGAAAATATGATGCCCCGATCCAGTACAAAACTGAGCTTTTGATAAGAATCCAACGAGGGGAGTAGCAGGGACTGTGATATCGAATTTTTTCATTTAAGTATCTATTAGAAAAGAATTCTCCACATTTGATTCCTTATATGTGCCCATGGGCCAAACCGCATATCCCGTATGCATACATGCTGGTTGGGAAAACAGTACGCCTAGCACCCAGACGTTCGACGCCAGGACGCGTCCGGACGCATCTCCAAAAATGGCACCCACGTACAGAAACAGCGCCAGCATGCGTGTGCATGTCCCCATCCGCAGCCCATCTCCTCCACACCCCCATCCCGCCACCACGCTGCCATCTCAGGCGTGCTTCCTTTGCAAGCCCCCTGCATCGCCCTGCCCGTTTCGTGCTGCACGCGGGGCTCGCGCCGCCCGAGCGACAAGAGGGGAAGGGCGCGCGGCGCCTCCGATTCAGAAGAACCTGGCCACGACATCATATGGATGCCCTGCCGGCTCCGGGAGAGACGGTGCAGCAGAAGGTGGGGAGGAGAGATGCAACACCTGATCTACTTTTGAAATATCTAAATACAACAGTGCAACATACGCCTTAAGGCATTTGAAACATACTTCTGAAACACTTGAAAAAACACCTGAAACACACTTGAAAACCATGGCAACCATACGCAACATCAAAAAAACACATGCAACGTATGTGTGAAACATATGCAACATCCAGATAAACACACTTGCAACATGCGTCCGGAAAAATATAGAATACCTCTGAAATATCTGAAACACTCGAAACATACACTTGCAAGATGCCTTTGAAACAATTGCAACATATATATGCAACATGTGCAACATCCTCCGATCTACTTTTGCAACATCCATATGAATACAAATGCAACATACATCTAAAATACTTGAAACATACATATGCAACATAGGGGAGGGGAAGGCTGCGCTAGTAGATTTCGGACACCGGGGGTAGGCGGCGGCTGCTCCAGAGCCTAGGCATCGCCGGTGGTGGGGGAAGGAGCCGTCAGGGTGGGGGAGTAGGACGCAGGGGGTGGGGGAAGGAGCCGCCACCAACCAGGGAAGCAACGATGGCCTCGTCATCGTGTGTGGGGCAGGACGCGAAGGAATAAGAATAGGGAGGGGCGTGAGCGCTGCGGGAGTAAGCAAGGCGTCCGTCTGTCCAAACGTCTTAATCATATCACTATCGTTGGGGAAAAGTAAAACTGCGTATGTAAACATTTGTATCAAGTTTTAAAATGTTACAGCCCAAAGCATATTCCGATTTCACCATTGTAATCCTTACAATAAATACTTAAAAAAGACTTCAAATACATATATGTAGACAAAATTTTATTAAAGAACAACTTTCTCATGAAGATAGATTTTTTTATTAAGCAAAGTGATGTTCTAGGTCTAGGTCTAAGATAGAATGTTTTAGTTTTATAGGACAAATGTTCTAAGTTCAGAAGAATAATATTCCAGATTGACTGAAATATATGGGCAGGATTTTTCTCAGGATGTTATTTAGGTACCCGGACTTTTAAATGCATTTTAGGTCATCGAGCTGTTCCAAACTATGAAAAATGCTATTTCTAAGTCTCCCGAAATTGATTCAGTGTGTCATTCGAGCTCATGAACTTGCCATAGCATGTCACTTATTCGGTCCAGGTAGACTCAATCTACTCCGTGAGTCCGCATCGCAAAGTCACATGCCGTATCGGTTGAATCTACACCACATGGCTCCGCAAAACAATGATGTCGCGTTGGAATTAAGGAAGAACGAGAAAAAAAATATAGTTTCTTATAAAAAAATCTACGTGAGAACCAAGATAAAAAAAGATGTGACTGGTAAACCATAAAAAAGAGAAGATACTTGATTAGATAATGCAAAAATCTATTTTAAAGAAATCATCCATTAAAAATAAAGTTTTTGTATAGTGTTTACGTTTTTTTTTTTTGAGGAAATTGTATAGTGTTTACGTGACCTGGCAAGTAGAGAAACCATCTTATAGTTTATACGGGTTGGAACTACCCTTGTTGATTGAGTCTGGGCTGGGCTGGGCTGATTAAGGTTTCCTTTTGACGATCCAAGCTGATATCATCCAGCAGTGACATGCAGCCCGGCCTGCCTAGCATATAGGACGTACGCACATCCAGCCCTGATCGCCCGCGGCCATTCATGGTGCATGCATGATGCGCCCGCCTGTGCACTGTGATATTCATTCATTCACCCATCAGTTCCTTCGTCCACAACTCGGCCTGCAGGCAGAGATTACAGAAATGCATGCATGCAGAGCCCATCAAAACAATAATCATCTGTTTGCTTATGCTGAAATTTAGCTTAGGCTGATGTTTATATTAAAATATTATAAGAGAAAAATATTGTTCAATAAATGAAAAGTAGTTCTGAATAAATTTAAACGAACATGACAAATATTATATACAAAAATAATATGTTTGGGTAGCTGTAGTTTGTTGCAAGCTGCTGCTGGCAGAGGGCTGGGGGCCGGAGGAGTGCCAGGGCACACCACACGTGACCACTTGAAGATCTCGCCAGACGCCAGTCGCATGCATCGGCGCGAATCACAGTCCGTGCACGCTGCAGGTGCTCCAGGCCCAGGTGCTTGGCATTTAATTACTCGCATGGGCTGGCGTCCGATCCGGCCATGCATGTGGACTCGTCGACTATCACAGGACAGCATGCAGGAGCACAATACTACTGCAAGTCTGCAACTGCAAGGAAATAAAAATAATAGAGCCATGCGTGCATGCATCCATCAAATATTTTACTACTCTTTACTCTCTCTGGATCGCGAACATATATTAAGCGACGTGTTGTTTACTTGCCGTGCGAGCTGAGGTATTTAACCCCGGTACGACTGCCACTACCTGAACCTGATGAGCTGATCTCAAGTCCCCAACCCACATACTGCTATGGAGTCAGCTAGCTCTCCACTCTCCTGTCGATCTACTGACGCCAACAGTGACGCCTTCGTCCTCATCTAGCTCGTGTGTACTGACTCACCCACACGAGCTGCTTTGTGTACACAACATGCATCGAACTCCTCCATCCCCACAAACTATACATGCACGCATTCCACGAGCGTCGTATATAGTAGTATACGTAATAGAGTAATGCCTGATTTACCTATGACAAAATTTTAAAAAATCACTCTCGAACTCACTATACCAGACAACTTACCACACATGACTTTTCAAACCGGATAAACACAACCCCCACCCCACACACAGTCACACACACCAGCATTTCAAAGCGGTTTCTTTGCGTGATTTTGCCGATGTGGTGGTGGGACCCATATATCAAATAGGCGAAGTTTATATCAAAATTATAGAGCTTGATGCAATCTACAA